GGTGGAATAACACACAGAGGGAGCAGTATTCTTTAAACCAACAACCGCGTGAGGGCAAAGTCCCGACACAGAGCTAGAAGGGAGACAGAGGACACGATCTGTAGGCTGCCGGGACCAGCAGGAAGCGCCCCCCAACCCCAGAAGTCCATTTAGAAGTTCATCTCCATAACTTAACAACACAAAGTAGCTGAGAAAATCAGACTCTTCTGCAGAATCATCTATTTGGGGAAGAGATGTGCTCCTGAAACAGCTGCAAAGCATACGGTATTTTTCCCATTTACTTACAACATTAAATTGAAAATCCGTTCCCACGAGTGGTATTGCTGAATTCACAGCACTCCTCCAAACCAGATAAAAAGTACACAGGAATGTAGGAAACCTATTAAAATCGCATACTGAACGGAAAAAAATATTGACACTGTTCAGATAACATCAGCACCACTGCCCGAAGGCAAAAAATAAAAATACACCACAAAAGCGGAGGCCTTTCCCAGAAATACTGTACCAATCTCAAAAGGAAACTGATCTCTGATTTCAAAAGGGTGATTTCCATCCCCGGAGTCCGCTGGGAATTTCTACGTTACTTTGGGAATTCTTTTCAATTTGAGTGATTCTGCACAGGTCAAATGGAAATGGAGCCCATCTAACAATTAACACAGGTACTTCGGGTTTAAGTGCATTTTCCAAGAAATCACTTGCATTGGTATCATGAGCCCTGCTCGTGGTGGTTTATTGTTTATATGTGTGTTCCCGTTAAGGCCGGCTAATTCCTCTACCCCATCTCAGCCGTCAGCTGCAGGTCTCTTCCCTCTGGCCTCTCGAACACCTACAGTCCTTCAGACTCTTCCTCCGCGGGGTCCTTCCCCCCCACGCCGTACGCCCCAGCACCTCCCATGGGACTGTCTGGCACCCACATAACTGAGCTTAATTATACGTGGACTTGGTTGTTCTTTAATTCCTCCACACGTTACACTTTTCTCCCCTGGTCCTAAGTCCCACGTTTAGACCTTCTGTCACCTCAGAGAAGCTGTGGGGTGTCGAGTGTGGGTTTAGAAACTATTTATGGGTTTGCTATTCATCCAGAGGAGCCTCTTTAATTAGCAAGAGAGACCTGGGAGACTGACAGCATTGGGGTGCAGGGTCAGATAGGGCTCAGGCCGCCTCCCTTCACTTTCCGCCTCGTAACTCGGAGCAATTCCCTTCCCCCACCACGTTAGCTCCTTTGCTCATCTTGAAATGAGGGCAAGAACAGTACACTGTGGTATAATTCTTGAGGGGTCAGGGAAACAATGACTACGACGGCACTCGGCGTGGGGAAAGGTCCAGCCCTGTGGACAGCAGTCCGCACACGGCAAGGACTCGGTCAATGGGGAAAGGTCCAGTGCTGTGGACAGCAGTACGCACACGGCAAGGACTCGGTCAATGGCAGCTGCTGTTACGGAAACCATCTGTCCAGACACCCACACACAAGTGCCAGACCCGCTGGGTGGGGAGGGGAACAGGCAGGTGATGAGGGAGGGGTGTTAGGTCCCACGAGGGAGGGGCCCTGCCCTGTGTTCCTCGCCGGCCTTTTATACTGGAATAAGGAAGCCTAAGGTCTTCTCTTTGACTCTTGAAAACAATTTCTACTGACTAACATAGGTACCTATTGTTCACAAATTTATCGGGTACTATTTAAAAATGTGACTACATTGATGCCTAAAGTATGGTTATGTAAGGACGTGACTACCAGGGGCTGCTGGGTGAAAGGTGTAGGCAACTCTGTGTTACTTTTTTTTTTTTTTTTTTTT